TTATGATATATGTTGATTGATTAAAAGAATTCAAATAACAAGAGAGTCCAATAACTATGTATGTACATACGTAAACAATCGTTGGAATTGTAGATAATTGTTTAATGATAAACGTATGATACTCTTGTTATACAAGTTTGCTTTCTGCGCTTTTCCGTTTCATAAAAATCCACTCCAGACCAATTCCATTTTAATTTTTATCAAATCTGAAGAATCATTTCGCTTCCTTGTTAAATTTTTCTTGTCCTTGAGAAAAACAATCGGGAACATTCTAGATCGTTTTGATGTGCGAACCGAAGAGATTGTCAAACGAAAGCTAAAATCGCTTTTGTTATAAGTCGCGATGACCTACCTTAATACTAGAAAGTTACAATTGGACCTCGAATCTCTTCGTTCGTCAGAAAAAAATTAACGAGCCGTCAATGAATCGATTAAAGCAATCGCACGTGAATGTGTGCCCATGAAATGATTCATATATATGTAGTTGCTTATTCATAGACCTCGTTTATGACAACGTATCGTAAATGTCAGTTTTCTTTCTATCTCTGTTTTTGCGCGAAAGTGATCGCTCTCTCTCTCTCTCTTTCTAGTTAGAAAACTTGTACATAACGAACGTATTGATAAAAATTTGCTCGAATCTCCACTCTCACGTGCAAAGTGAAATTACACGCACGTCTTTTGCACGCGCTGAAACAGCAGACAAAGGCGATCCTCAGATTAGCTACAGCGCAGGCTCTGCTTTTGTTTACATTGTCACAGGTCGATGAGTATGCCTCTTAAAAAACCGCTGCTTCACAAATATATCATCACCATTTATTCGTGAAATCGTTATTCGCCTGATACGTGTCGCGGGCAACGATTAATTGATACGTGTCGCGTTTCTATGTTTCAATCAGCTGTTCGGCGAGCGTCAGGTACTCGGGCTTGAAACGTTGTTGACGATATTTAATGGTGAAAACACCAGCAGACTGTCTGTCAGACACGCAGACTTGTCAGTAGCAACTTTCTTTCCTGCTAATTTACTTTTACTTTCCTAGCGTGAAAATTTAAATTTAACAGATTAGCGCAGTTCAGTTACAATAATGCAATAACGAAAATAATTTGTTATCACGTTATATTCCACCCTATCGTATGAAGTACTCTATCATATATCCTGCATTTTGATTATTAACTGCAAAAGAATTTGATACGCAAGATGACTGATATTTTGAACTTTGCAAAATGTCAGCAAATTTGAGGAATGCCGTTGCCATCCGATTAAGTCTAAAAAAAAACCAATTCAATGGTTTCTTATCACCCATCCTATAGTATCTTTTTCATTCAGCATTACGAAAATATAAATCGATGTTTTCTTTTTTTTTCTTTTTTACATCTGTGTACTTACGTTCCACATAAGTGGCACGCGTATACTATTAGCAAATGTCGGAACACTCCATCGAAAAATCGAAGGACTTCGTGTAATTTCCGGATCGAACGCCTACGATCGTCCATTATAGGGATATCAATTTTATCTGTACGAACTTAGCTGTAAATCTATAAGCGATTGTTATAAATGACGAATCAGTGATTCCTCACCTTGCAAATTAACCCTTTTCGACAGTGTCGTTGACGTGATGCTAACGTGCGGCACAGTTAAGAAAGCTGACTTTCTCACACGGCTCTCACGAAAACACGTAAAGCGAACACGTAAAACGGACGATCACACGCCAAGCCTTCGTCGTTGTATTCTGATAGATTTCCCGTGGAAGGTAAAATCGTGTCTACGGAGGGCGCTTCACGGGTAACCACCATCGCGCCGACTCCGAGAAGTCTGCAAATCCAACGTCGAACTACGGCCCATGGAAGGGATGTCATCGATCGCACGTACACAAGGTCCATGGCCTGTAAGTACCAACCCCTTGTTTCGTATTCTTTAGAACAGAACGAGAACGGTGTTCTTACGAGAACAAGCTGACAACGGATCAATGGATTCATGAACCCTAGATTGTTATCACGTTGCTACTTTACAAATAGTTTAATAAACATCAATCGCGTAATACCTGATTCGTTCTCTTTATTTTTTTCAATTCTTTTGTCTTTTTGGTTTGATTATTAATTTGTTATTTGCTTGATAGAGACGATCAAATTGGAGATGTTTAAATGTCGAAATGTCATAGATGAGATAGGTGGGAAACCAACAATTCGGACTTTTGTGTTATTTTCAATGTTATCAATCCATCTATGTAAAGCAACATTGTAACATTGAATAAAAATAGACGTGAGGCATTTACATGAGACTTCGCTTTGTACTCGTGTTTCACATTCTGAATTACCAGCCACGGGAAAATCAAAATGTTTCTCACGCCCTCTGCGATTTGCTACGCAACATAGAAATTAAATTGAGATTAAAGGGGCAAGCGCACTGCACTAGCCAAAGGGAAAGCGGCCAAGTTTTGGCGCGAAACGGCTTCAATTAATTGAATGTCAGAAAAAATGATATCAAAACACGTCGATTTGTTTGATTTGTGTAATTTTTAATTCTACATAATATTCATTATTTTGTTATTCTTTATAGACTATTAATATCTTATTTAATACTTCTGCTGTCTGTTCACGACAGATGAGAAATTAAACATTTCTCAAAAGGAGAATGACCAGATTTTTGTCGAGTCTCCATTTACAGCAGCCTCTACACGATGAGATCAATGAGAAATAGGAAACTGATAAGAAAACAAAAGAATATATGTACACGTGAAACGAAAGGAACAGTTTGGTCCTGTTCAAATATTTTCAATTTTCATTAAAAAGAAATAAAATTGTATTTATTAAACATTAAACATGCAAATATTACAATAATTAGGACAATCCAAATAGATTTCCTTCTTGCAATATATTATTTTATAATGGAATTTAATTATTTACTTTCCACTTGTAAACACATTGTTCAATACTGTTTAATGCCTATGAGAGCTTCTGTTATTAACATGAATCTCATATGATAGTAAAAATCTGAAACCAATAAGATGGCAAATATCTTATTTGAAATTAACATTATGATTTATAATAATGTACCGTAATTATACACACTAATTATTCTTTTTCGCCTTCGAGTTGATAATGATAACGACGTAAAGCAGCTAAGCGTAATCTTTCAGTCTCCAGAGCCTGCTCTAATTCCAGCACACGTACTTGTGCTTCCATTTCTAATCGTTTGGCTTGATGTAAAGTTAGTCCAGAAACATCTAAATCATCTGTAAAATATTAATAATATTAATTTCTCATTAATAATATTAATTCTCAAAAATATTGAACATAAATTCTCCAAATTTGAAATTACCATTTTCTTCAACAAGTTGACTGCAGTTTTTAGCAGTTGCAACAACACTTCCTGTTGCTTGTGTTACGTCCCTTGATGCCTCGGAAAGTGCCGACAAATTACTGCTATTTCTATTGGCTTTTACTCTACTTGCAACTACCAATTGCGCTGTAGACGCAGCAATTCCCTGCGATGCAACTACTAATTGTTCAAATTTACCATTTCCAGAAACAACTTTATCTGCAGCTTCTCTGCAAGACATTAAAATTTTTTCAGCAAACAAATATTGCAACAAACTGTACTATGTTTGTACTTACAGCAGAAGATTTGCACCCATTGCTACTGCTTTAGCTGCTGATATAAGTCCTTCGGACCATTGATGATTACGTTTATAAAATTCTGTTGCAGAGGCAGTACCCTAAAAATCAAAATGAATTTTGATAATTAATTTTTATTTGATACTAAAGATGAATTATTATATAATATTAAAGTTGAAGTGACTTTGCTGACTAATGTCGGTATATTATTATTCAATATCAGATTAAATATTACGCATTTACCTTTCCTTGTTCTACAATTTCTGCTTGCAATAATCGTGACTTTTTAACTAATTTTCTTATACATTTCATTAATTCTGTACATGAATCTAAAATTTTTTCATTCACTTCTAATTTTAATCCTGAGTCTGCTGCACGAGATTTCTCCAACATATCCTAATTTTTAATATTATAAAATATAGTATTTATAAAATTCGTATAAAAATAGTATATGTTAAATGTGACATAATAAAATTTAAAAGACAATTACTCGTATTCTATTTGCAGCTTCTTCTATTGCTTTATCCATACTTAATAATTCCGTTTCAACCAAATCTCCGATAACTTCAACGGTGCCTTGCCCATTAGATAACGTGGTTGCAAGTTCACACACTTTCTTAAATTGCTGTTTTACTTCGTTGATTTGACCCACAGTCACGGGTGATTTTTCTCTTATGTGGTTAAACATAGTTAATGATTGTAATCCCAACTGTTTACACTCATCAATCAATTCTACGATACAACAAAGAATCAATATATATTTTTAAATTTTGTGTCAATCTTCTCAATTCATAACTTACTATCACCCAACGCGATATTGGACGTAGTATTGGACGTAGATTTGGCATGGATAATATAAAGCCCCAAAATATATGCGACGTGTATTGCACTTTTAATGAGTACTTTTCCATTCGTTGTATCACACACATAACCGGTGTACGCTGCATCAAGATTATCCAACAATTTTAGAATATGGTCTGCCAGTTTCTCAAGATATTGAGGAGTGCAAGTTAAATCCGACATTGCGGGATTATCAATGGCATTCAATGAATATTGCATAATATCTTCCGCTTCAGAGATACAATTTACTGAAATAAAAATTCGTTATTTCAAATGAATGATCTTTAATTCTACGAATCGAAATACTCACACAATAATTCATGCAACATGGTATCCGCATACGTGTTCATTTCATTACGGCATCGTTCGGCTTCAACTTCTAACTTTTCGATTTTTAAATCTAGTTCTTCTTTTTGTGCTAACAGATCGTGTAGATCTCCTTCTAAAGCCGTTTTTTCAGAAGTTATAAAATCATTTTTGGCAATCAAAGCCTAAAATATCACATCTTTACCGGAACGAAATAAAAATAAACGTAAACGCAAACAAAAGGAAAAAAAAGAAAAGTATTAACCAAGTTTTGAGTTTTCGCATCATTCAATTGTTGTTTTACGTCATCCAAATCGTGTTGAGCTTCAACGGCCTTTCGTGCTTCTTGTTCTGTTATAGCTTGACCTTGTATTAATTCTTCAAGACGACGTTCTGCTTCAAGCGTTCGCCGTTCGGACTGTTCTTGCGACATTTTCAACATTCCTAACTGTTTATCCACTTCAGCTTTCTATCGCATAAAGACATTCAACATTTAATATTTTTTTACTATTTTTTTACCATTTTTAGAAATTTAAGAAGATCCTACCTTTCTGATTAAATTGATATGTTCTTCTCTGAATTTTGAGTATGCATCTTTCAATTTTTGAAATTTTTCTTGTAAGATTTTGTACTTTTCTAAAACAGGAAGGAAAATTGTATTACGAATGCTTTCCAAAATATTTTACATAATGCAAGTGAAAATAGCATGCTCTAACCTTCGCCTTCATGAACCTTTACCATCATATCTGCTTTCTGCTTCACAAAATCCTGATTAACTTGTTTCTCCTGGTCGATCTCATTATTCTAAAAAAAAAATATACATATTAAAATATCATTAGGATATTAAGAAAATTATTAAAATATCTTCACCTTAAGAAGTAAATCCGACTCCAACTGAGTGAGACGAGTTTGAAGATCCTCGACGATCCTCTGATGATCAGTCAACACACGATGTAACTCTTGCCTTTGTCGATTGGTCTGTTGCTGCAAATGATCGATGAGACTTTCTCTAAAACAACAAACGATATCCTTGTCTCGGATTTCAAATATACTTCGTGTACAACTAATGTTGTAATTTACCTCTCCGCTATCGTATCAGGTGAAATGGAACCGTTTCGCGTGGAATCCAATTGATCGCCCGGTAACGAATTTGTATCAGAAGTATCGATAAGATCAACTACAGTTTCAGAATCCAAGGATTCTTCCGGTGGTAATACTACTATAGGTGTAACGTAAGCTCGAAACTCGGATTGTATTAAAAAGTTTGGTGGATTCTGGTGGAGAAATTAAAAATTACACGTGGCAATTACATTGAATGTATTGCACAAGTAAGTATCGTAGTAGTTGAATCTTACCTCAGGTAATGCAGGTATCGTTATAAGATGCTTAAAATACTGCCTCTGTTTAACAGTATTGTAGAACTTCTTCAGTTCTTGAAATTGTTTAGAGAATCTGTCCCGGTGGCCGGTTAAAGTGTCCGCAGGCAGAGCACCGTGAAGTTTAAATAATATTTTTACACAATAATCATAAAGCTGCGACGCGTCTAAAACGCATGGGATTAGTGGAGCCAGCCGACACTGTCCACTGGCCGTCATCGAGTTAGAGGGTGTATTCTTCAAAGAAGTGGTAACTGGAAACGTTTCATTCGTGTGAATCAATACAAACGTAAGTGTATAATGGTTATAATGGAATTTTGAGATAAAAATTGGAGGTTTACGATCGAGAAAGTGGTACACTCAGTTTCCACGATACATGAGACGATAGAATAAGCGTATCTACATCAATCGGTTTAATGGTACCTATTTGTTTCATTCAAACACCGCAAGGTATCGAGTTCACTTTCTCCAATTTATACGCAAAACATTGGATTTAATTAGAAATCACGAATCTTCTTTGGTAGCCAAATTTTTCATCGGCAATTCAGTAAGGAGACACGTACATCATCGTGTAAATTATTCTGTTCATCCGACAATTACTCCTCCGTTCATTCATTCAGCATGCAGATTTCAATTTAACCGGTCTGCCTTGATTCGATCTGGATAATCGAGATTCTAGTAGATTAATTACATCAAAGGAACGAAACCTAAATTGGTACCGCGTTGCTTTCATTTTACAAACAACGGTTTTCAGGCAAAAACTATTACGGTGTAATCAGTTTAGATGAAGGATGATTTGAAGAAGGAAGAAAGGAGGTACTCGAGTAAAGAGTTTGTTAAAAATATGTATTAAGAGAATGATCCGACACTCATCGATCGAGAAGAAATCGACAAAAAGTGGTAGACAAGAATCTGGCCTGTACTTACCTGCACGTTGTAAATTCAAAATATCGTCCATGTAATCGAACATTTCAACCGACATTTGGAAACTAAACAAAAAGAAAAAAATTATAGAAGATTACAAAACCGTGTTCTACAAAATTAAAGATACGAAATATAGTAAAATTCCGAATTCAGAGTACAAACAGTTTATATGACAAGAGTTTAAATATTCTGCAGTTCTTCTATAAAATGGCTCGGTTGAAAACTTACTAAACATTGATATCGTTCTCCCCGATTGATTCAAGTTCCTCCGGTGTTACTTGAAGATTGCCGGGTACGCGTGGGTTCCGCTTGTGAAAATCTAACTTAGTGATCAATAATCTTATATACAATTGAATCAACGGGCCGTATCCTTCCCGCAAATGTTGCCATAATTTCCCGAGGTCCTCCAACCTTTTACGATACCGCTGGGAGTCCGGAATCACTTTTTCATGACCCTCTCGCAGTATCTTGTGCAATACGTGACAAAATTTCCATGCGACAATTTGATTCTCTTGCAATGGCTGCCGCAACATATACGTCCAAAAAATCATTCCACCCTTTTCCTGATGTGTACCTATAATCGCGCCTATGTTTCTGTAAGGTATATATATACATATATATATATACTTTCAAAATTAATTTTACTACAAAAGTAATTCCTAATATCATTATAATATTATATATTATATATTATAATCGCGCCTACGTTTCTGTAAGGTGTGTACACACACACACACACACAACACACATTATATATATACATACACTTTATATATATACACCTTATATATATACCTTATATATATACACATCTTATATATATACCTTATATATATACTTTCCAAATGTATATATATACTTTCCAAATGTATATATATTCCAAATGTATATATACCTTATATATACCTTCAAATGTATATATATACCTTATATATACATATATACCTTGTATATATACCTTATATATACATATATACCTTGTATATATACCTTATACATACATATACACCTTGTATATATACCTTATATATACATATACACCTTGTATATATACCTTATATATATACTTTCCAAATGTATATATATATACACCTTATATATATACTTTCAAATGTATATATAT